AACAGTTCCATGGGATGAATTTAAACGTTCCGCAATTTCATCAACTGTTAAAGATGGTTCTGCTTCAACTAGTGCAGAGAGAGCATCATCATCAAAGTCAACGGGTCTTCCAGTACGAGCCTTATCCTCCACACTAAAATCATTATTTCTAAATCTTTCAAACCACTTCTGCGCAGTCCTTACACTTATTACAGTTTGATTATGAACAGTATTTAATTTTTTGGCTGCATTTGTAGCATTCTCACCACTTAAAAATAAAAAGTATAAAACATGTCTCTTATATTCATCTATTACTTCCATTTTAACGAAAATAAACAACTGAAATGTTCCCAATTCTGAACAGTATTATATGAAAGATCCAATTTAACACTTCAGTGTAAAAAGTATCACATTAGACTGGCATTTTTAACAGCAAAACAAGATTTTTTTCAAGGTCATAGCATACGCACGAACTTATGGACTGACCTGATAGATTATTCAATAAAATAAACGTATTATATTGGAGATTAAAAAACGAAATTTAATACTGTACGTTGTGTATAAGTGGCATTAATGCTAATAAATTTTGGTAATAAAACTTCAAGGGGTTAAGAGATAAAAAATGGTCACGTTTAAAATCTCAAGTGGGATCAGACTTCATGAAACTTTTATTTGTTGTTAGCATCTACAATTCTTTGTGAAATGCATTTCTATCATTAAAATTAAGCATTTCTTCATTTTATAATAATTGAAATTATAGAGAGTTTTTATAAAATATGGTGCCAAAGACAATTTTATTTATTTTTTTCATTAATAATATAGATGTTATTTTTAAATAAAATCACTTAACTGCAAGGAAACTTACGCAACTCGTTGCTAGATTTTTTTCTTACATAATACATATTTTTTATTTAATACAGAATACACCTACATTCAAAGCATAATATTATATTAGTGATATTGAGCTACGTTTTCAACTATTCAAAAACCTAAGTTAATATTGAAATTTAACTGTAAAATATCTCAAAATATGTATTACTTACCAATACGTGTTCATCAACATCTGGGAGATGAACATCTTCTTTGTAATCTTCAGTCTTTACTTCAATCTTCAATTTTTTCAAAACAACTTTACATTCTGATTTTATTCCATGCTTTACATCATAATTCTTCTTTACTTCTTCTTTCTTGATATCTGTAGTCGAAATTAAAATTTTTAACACAAAAACTACCGAAGAAAAACTTAAAATATAAAATAAAACATAATTTCATTAATTAACATGACAAAAAATTACATGTTTTACTACATCATTTATTTCTGATTACAAGCCGAAAATTACTACGAATCACGGCAAATTGATGTGATGTGTGATACAAATTGTAATAAATACAATTAAAAACTTCTTTTCGTTATTAAATAGACCAGCAACGAATGTTTAACTTTTCCGGAAACATTTAAAACTACGTGTGGCGCCATATCTTATAATATTTTGTTTTAAATATTTCTATATTTTAACTATTATTACACTAAGGAAAAAAGCTCGATTTTGAGGATAAAGATAAATTTTATAAAAAATTGTAAATTTGAAAATAAGTAAACTTGTCATATATCCGACCCTACTGAAGATACACATAACCAAAATTTACAATTTAATCTCATAGATGTACAGGTAACCCCCGTATAACACGGTAGTTACGTTCCAAAAAATTGCCGTGTTATGCGAATCCGTGTTATACGAAACAAAGAACTAATACTAAAAGGAGGGTTAGGTTCCAAAAATTAAAAAACATGCTAGTATATTTTCATAATTAAGATAAATATCTTCATTAAAATTTTTTAAGTGATACATATTAATATAAATTAAACAATGTTTTCTTTGTCATCACTAAAAACACTATTAATTAACCAAGAGCATTTTCTTTTTGGCAAGTTATCCTTATCCTCTGAGCATTTTTCTGCATTATCTTCAGATCCATGCTTTACCTTTTGCAAAATGTAAGTAATTTTAGATTGCTTGCTTCTAGTTAAAAGGTCTTTATAAATTTCCTTATATAGTGCTAAGCACTTATGAAGAATAAAGCAAGTATGGAATAAGGGAAAAACATTCGGCAACATCAGAAGCAGAAGCGTCGAGATCTGGCAACATTGAAACAAGTTTCGAGAAGGACCACGTGTATCAACAGAGGGCGAGAAGAAAAAATTTACATACTTAAGTACTAATAGTTCACAAAAATAATAATTTTCGTAAACTATTAGTACTTAAGTATGTAAAAATTTATTACATTTCCTGCTGTACGAGGGTTTTACCCAATTCTCGAACCGTGTCAGAGTGAATCCGTGCTATAAAAGTACCGTGTTATACGGGGGATGGTACCAATTCTCGAATCGTGTTAGAGTGAATCCGTGCTATAAAAGTACCGTGTTATACGGGGAATGATACCAATTCTCGAACCATGTTAGAGTGAATCCGTGCTATAGAAGTGCCGTGTTATACGGGGGTTACCTGTAATACAGTGTGTGATCGGTTAACGAACAGATCGGATAAAGAACACTTTTGCGAAAGATTTTTATGATCGGACAACGAACACGTCACTGAACAAACGCAAGAAGAAGCGACGCAAAATAACGAATACCGATTGGTTTTCCTTCGTCTTCAGGCAAGAATTAAAAACTTTTCGGAGCGCGGGAGACGTCGACATCGACGTTCAACCTAGTATGTACTGATCGGATAGTATTGTCCCAAACTTTGAAACTCTCCCTTGTAATTCCAGCCTTTTATATTTCTGATAGAAACAATTACGTTTTCTTCTGAAAAATCGGATTTATGCCGATATCTGCTATTAAAGATTTTTTCAAGAAGTGGGAGGATGTCAAAACAACGGTCTTAAAATAGTGTGGGCTTTGGTTGTTGTTGCTTTTATCTTTTGTGGCTGCGAGTGGAAGAAATGAGCGAGACGAGATCGTAACAAAAGCTGATTTTATTGTGTTTCTCACGTATTTGGTACTGCACGTCTCAACAAAGCGGCTAACAAAAAACAACTAACAGTCGATGGTCTTTGGTGAGGTCGAATTTATTGCAGGAAGTGATGACTCATACACCCGGGGATCGTTGCTTGTTTCTTACAACGGTTAAGGGTAAAGATGTGAAGGGCGGCATTTGCCACAATGGCATCCAAACCAGGTTGAGGTTAATAGGCTTAGGGACCTCTACAATTACAATGCAGTTAATTACTTCTGAAAAATCACGAAGACAGAAAAGCAACAAACTTTAGACAGATTCTTTAATCTGCGCAAACGGCAAAAACATGACAAATAAAAATGCAAGATCGTGTATATATGTATTTTTATTATTACATATAAATAAACGTAGTAAAAAGTATATATTTTTCATTTTTTGGGAGTCTCCAGAACGAATTAATTAAATTTCCATAGAAACCTACGATAAATCGATAATCGGTTAAAGAACAATTCGAATAGCGAACAAAGTCTTGAAACGGATTATGTTAGTTAACCGATCACCCACTGTATATCACAAACAAGTTATGTTAATCAAAGTTCGATATTCCGGTGTTTTCCTATTTCTGGGCATTCTGACCCTCCATTAGCACAAAAATATAAAATACCTTACAAAATACTATTTGTCGACGTTGAAAACTTTGTCTGAAATTCAGACTTACAATAAGACCCCTCTTAGTGATGATTCGATATAACGCGGTCTTCTCGAAGCCTAAAAAAAAGCTCAAAATTTAAGATGATTTAAATTATCGCGGCATTTCATTGATTCATATATAATACGATTATTTAAAAACACAAACCAATCGGCAAAAATTGGCAAAAAAGTATACTTTAAATCTGTTTGCTTGGTGCAATTTTGGAAAAATATAATATCATGGATGCCATAGGAAATATCGACTTCGCTTGGCAAGAATTAACTGATAAATGCACGAACGAAGTATGGAAGAAGTTATGGCTGAAGAATTATCAACGAGAAGAGCCTATCGCTGTATCGTTAGGTTGACCAAACTTCAACCTAATCGATATAGCAGGACTAGGAGATGTAGACAAACAGGATATTGAGGAGTTACAGCAGATTTCTGCTTAGAGCCTTACCAGACGACCTTCAAGAACTGGCAGAAAAAAATATACATATACTCGTAGAACTAGAAAATAGAGATTCTGAAAACGAAGAACCCTAAAAATTTCTCTACAAATTTCCTCAGTAAAAGTTTGGTAACGATAACCGAAATCGTTGATCAAATTGTAGCGAATAATCCAGATTTTGAAAGGAATGCAAAAGCAAAACGAGGCATTTTAGATGCGATCTTTTGCTATCGACAGTTGCTTAAGGAAAGAAAACAACGACAAATGAAACTACACGACTTTATTGCAAAAGATCAAAAATTTCAGAAAAGTCAGGACCTTCATCACAAAAAATGAACTTTACATTTCTCTGTGCATGTGATTATGTGTTATTTAACATATATTATTATACAAATTAATATAAAAATAACTTAAAATTAAAATAAAATTTGTTTATTTTTGGTCGCCTGTTCCCCTATCCTTATATTTACTCTATGTTAAAATGNACAATTTTTGTTTCTTGCTTAAGAATTTCATTTAGGTATTGTCACAAATGCATTTTTTTTTATGAAATTTCGAGAATATTTTTAGTTATAAATAAACAAATTTGTGTATTCAATATCATGTTGTAAATTGCCGAATTTTTGATGGTCCACCCATTATTTTTTTTATTGTTTCATCTCATGCATTTAAATTTTAGATTGCCGCGTGTACCCCTTCATGCAATATCGCGTACCCCCAGGAATGCATGTACCACTAATCGGGAACCATTGCCATAGACCAATTAAAAAGCTATGCTGGAAGACCAAATAGTTAATCAATAAATAACAACCACAAAATAAAGAAGTTATCTAAAATTTGTGGAATAAAATTATCATCAATATATGCTAAAAAGAATTTGTAAAATTGATGAAAGAATTCAAATTATGATAAAAGTATAAGGAAATCAATAAATAACATTAAATAAGACAATTTTGAATGTTTGATAACAAACTTTTTACCTTTAGATGAAAACTACAAATAAAGTACAGTAAGACCCCGCTTAATGCTGATTTGATATAATGCAGTCTGCTCAAAGCCTTAAAAAAAAAGTTCAAAATTTATGCAGATTCAAATTAACGCAGTATTTCGTTGATTCGTATATAATATGATTATTCCCAAACACGAACCAATCAGCAAAAGGTGACAATTCGTCATAGCACCGTACTTCCCTTAAATCTATGTTTGTTTTGTGCAACTTTGAAAAAAAATATAACATCATGGATGCCATAGGAAATATCAACTTTGCTTGGCAATATTTAATTGATAAATGCATGAACAAAGTGTGGAAGTAGTTATAGCTGAAGGTATCCAAGAATTCTCATCGAGAATAGCCTATTGTTCTATCGTTAGGTTGACAAAATTGTCAACTTAATCGATACAGGAGATGTAGACAAGCAGGATATTGTGGTTACTGTAGGTTTCTGGTAAGAGCCTTACCAATAACGACCTTCAAGAACTGGCAGAACAAGGAATTCGCGTAGAACTGGAAAATAGAGATTCTGAAGACAAAGAACCCAAAAAATTTCTCCACAGTTTTTCTTAGTAAAAGTTTGGTAGCAACAACTGAAATCATTGATCAAATTGTAGTGAATGATCCAGATCTTGATAGGAGTGCCAAAGCAAAACGAGGCATTTTGGATGCGATTTTCTGCTACCGACATTTGCTTAAGAAAAGAAAAAGAAAGCAACCAATGAAACTATATGACTTCATCACAATAAACAAGAATTTCAGAAGAGCCAGGACCTCATCACAATAAATTAACTTTACATTTCTGTGTGCATATGTTTTGCACACAGAAATGTACAGTTTTGCATTATGTGTTATTTAACATATATTATTATGCAAAAATTTATATAAAAATAACTTAAAATTAAAATAAAATTTGTTTATTTTTGGTCGCCTGTTCCCCTATCCTTATATTTACTCTATGTTAAAATGACCTCGTTTAACGCAGTTTTGCTTAGCGCTTTGTTGTCCACGAACGTATCCCCCGCGTTACCCGGGGTCTTACCATATGTACTGTACGATGTACTGTACAGTGCGTTACGTATCTGCGTGTCACTCCCTCACACTTCGTTTCATATATAATATATAAATGTATATGCAATAAATATCTTTCAATGCAAGTAATGTATAAGTATGGTCTAAGTGTAAAAAAATTTATTTTCATGCGCATTCTGAATCAAGTAATATCCTGTCCTCATGGCATTCCAACATTCCTTAGAAACACATATTGCTTAGTACATAGGTCAACAGATTGCACTTACTGCCTAATACAGCTTTGCTTTATTCTAAAATAAATATTATATGCACAAGTACTTAGTAACTAAAGTAAGGAAATAACTTGGATGGAGCTTATTAGTGATATGTTTATGTATCGAGTTTGCTAATGATGGATAATTTATATTCACTGTGGAACCGGCTCTCATAAGCAAGAAAAAATGTGTAATGCAATGGTACTGCGCATAATTATTTTGAGTTTGATTTGAAAAGAAGTAAAATCCGGCAATGAGTTACGGAAATTTATGAGAAAAATGTTACAATTGGTTAATATTATTAATAATTATAAAATGGCAAAAAAGCTGAATTTTGAAAGTAGAAATGAGTTTTATATATAGATACATAAAATTAGTACTTTAAAAACTTAGAGCCTGTGAGAAATAACAATACATCCCGGCCTAAGCACCCATTAATGGAGAACCCACTGTTTCCAGAATATCACAGGCATACATCGATAAAAACAATAAAATAAATACAAGCGGACTTTTTTGCTATTTATTTAAACAAATTGAATTTAATCATATAATTGGGCTGGTATTTAAAAAAAATTGTAGACCTATAAATTCTCACTGTGGTCTGTCTGTGTGTCAGTCCTTTCTTAATTTCAAGAACAGACGAACATTAAAGTCGAGACCAGACAATATGGAAAGATTTGGGCAGTGTTTCTCAATGGGAGCGATATCGCCCCCATGTGGGCGTTTTTCCATGTTGAGGGGGCGATTAGTAACAATTTATATTTTGGGAGCGATAAACAATTTTCTGTGCGATATAGTAAAGCATTATATTAAGAATAATTAAAGATTTTATTCGTTATATCGTACAATAATTAAACAAATAACATTATACTAGTCACTAGTTTATTCAATGCAGTACAAATTTGGCGTTAGCCTTGGCCCTCGGCATCAGAATTTTGAAGTGAACGGGGCGACAATTCGTTAGAATTGTTGTCGATTGAGAAACACTGGATTAGGGGCACGAAACACACATTAACTGTGTACGAACTTTTGGTGAAGATCGAAAGTCACGTTATTTCAATTAAAATCTTTTCTTCTGAAAACAGTTAATAAATGACCGGCACAGCTCCATTGTCAAAGGAAAAGTATAATGTACAGAGGCAAGCCAATATTAATTTGAGATGAAGAGCATATGTTTGAAATTAAATACATTAAAAATATGATTATAAATTGCAGCCAGACATTGTGACGATGCCATAATAAATAATTGCTCTTTTCATTAAAATCTAAATCATATAAATTCGACTTTTCTCTGTTGTAAGATTCTGATCAATTGAATTGACAGTTTTAAATCTCGCAACTAAATTAAATGTAACTGATATTATTAAATTCTATTTAAATCTTATTCATTATACAAAACATGATTGCAAAGTTTTTCAAATGTTATCACTTCCATTTATATGAATATGAATTTATAGCTTACGAATTATTCTTATCAATACAAATAAACTTTCATAGTATTAAAAGTATTAAGCTTCTTACCTCTTTCGATTTTATAACCAGAATGACTCCAAACAGAGGATCCATTTGTGTCGTTTGTGGAAATTGGTTCTCTTTTAATATTTATCTGAAATAAGAAAAGATTACGTTATATTATTTGACAGATTGAACTTTATACACAGACAGATGAAAAAAATATTTTTTTCATTTTTTTCATAATTTTTTTTAAAAAATATGGACTACTATCTTCTTTTCTTTTAATTGTAGTGCCTANATGAAAACAAATTAGTGGTTATTAACTTTTTCAAACAAATAAATGATGCTTAAAATGGACATCTGAAATAAAATTACTTCATTTGTAAGTCATTTTATTCTAGATGTCTAGCAATAAACTTTGATGCTTTTTAGAACATAAATAATTTAACTTTTTTGAATTTTGAATTTTTCTGATAATCTACTGATACTGACATTGGTAATTCTCTTTCCACTGAATCATTTACTTTACAAATAAAAAGTCTGCTTCCACTCAAACATTTCTTGTCAATGAATAAATAACTAAGACCAATGTAGCTTTAAATATATTAGGTAAAATGTATGTTCTATCCAGAAAATGTTAACAGTGAACCTATTTCTCATTATTTTAAACATGAAAAATTATAATGCATTTTAACATCAATCTAAAATCTTTCCAACTAATTTCCTAAAATATAACTAAACCTCAATAATATTCATGTATGTAAATAACAAACTATCAAATTAGAATATAAAATGCTTAAAACATTATTCTCTAATCATCAAAAAATTAAATTGTTATTAATAAGCAGCTATTTTGTATTTAGTACTAAATCCCATACCATAAACAAATTACATTTCTAACATAGTACAGCAAATAGTATAAAGCATCAGAATTTTGTTAGTAAAAATACAGAAAAAATTACAATAAAAAAACAATAAATTGCAACACATTTTTAAAAGTATCTCTGACACTTCATATATAAACATCTTAAAGCCCAATGATTATTATATTAAAGCAAAACAATTACTGGATTTTCGGGTTACTTTATCCCTACTAATAATCATTAAATACCAAGTAATTTGGCACTAGAAGTTTGGTGCCTAACACTTACCTTTAGTGGCAAATTACCTGGTATTTAATAATTATTAATAATAGTAAAGTAGCCCAAAAATGCAATAATTGTTTAGATTTAATATCTCTGATAATTCTGTATATTGTAGAATTGATTACTGATAGCAAGAAAATGTGTTTAGGATTTCTGTTATAGGTTGGTGGAGTTGGTATAATACTGTAATCCCTCCCAGATAAATTTAAAATAGTCTTTAGTCTGGTTTATTTTATTTACTTATTATTATTTTTAAAGATAACCAGACTATGGAACAATATGCTATTAAATCTTTACAGTATGAATATTGTTCTGTTTTCATTAACAAAGAAATCTTAGCTAGCACTGTAGTAGACTACTAACATTTTTGTTGGGGAGAACACTTTATTTATAAGTAAATTTGACTTTGATCTCTGAGATTAATTCTAAATTACTTAATCTTTTTAAAATGTTACAAAATAAAATTAATTATAAGTATTAATTATAATTGATATTTATAATTAATACAATAGTCAGCACTGAACTTAGACCAAACCACAGTTAACATGTGATCCAATAAACAGGTTTAAAAAAAGTAGCTTTGATTCATTGCATGAATGTTTTACATAATTTAGAACAAATATACAGTAATTAATCTTTACTATTGCTAAATATCGACTTGATATCTTGCAAGTTTAACAAGATTGAGCCAGTCAAACTTGAGTCAAAGGCATCAAAAAACAGACCATTGTGTCACCCCCGTCAATGAACATAGACCACTGCATGTTTAATATTTTGTTGCATCATTTTTGTGGTTAAAACATCTTCCATATGTTTCAGCATGCTGTTGACTAGGTGTTCACATTCATCTGCCATTATGGAATTCCAGATAGTTAAGATGGAAGCTTTCAGTTCTTCAACTGTCCAAGGGCATGTTTTTCGCAGATGTCTCTTCATAATGTTCCATACATTCTCAATTGCTGAAAGATCTGGGCTGCTGCCAAGGAAGAACTTTATGTTCTTTTCTGCAAGCCACTGTTTTGTTTTTCTGCTTGTATGACATGTGGCCCCTCCTGCTAAAAAATGCAGGTTCTATTTGGATATAGCTTTGCTATGGAGAGAAGTAAATACTGTTGTAGAATGTTAATGTATTGCTCTGACACAAGCATTCCATCAACAAATGTCAACTGACCCATACCACTGGTGCTCATACATCCCCAAACCATAAAGCTGTCAGGAAACTTCACTGAGCAGTATAATAATGATGGCTCATTAACTTGACTGGCAGATCAAATGACACATTTGCTTTTGTCTGTTGCTGATAATTCAAAGTTTGATTTATCAGACCACAGAATTTCATGCCACTTTTGTTGAGACCAAGAAAGATGTTCTTTGGCTCACTGTACCTGTTTCTTCTTTTGATGTGCTGTTAGCAAAGATTTTTNCAGACAGATGAAAAAAATATTTTTTTCATTTTTTTCATAATTTTTTTTAAAAAATATGGACTACTATCTTCTTTTCTTTTAATTGTAGTGCCTATAGTCTATTTAACACCTTTCAGAGGAAAATTTTGAATTCAAACAACGTAACTTCTGATTTACAGCATATATACCTATAGTTTAGCGGAGCCTCTTGCCCAATTAAATGAATCTGATATTGTTTGAATATGTAAAGAATAGTTTATTAAGAATCAGGCTGCAATTTGATAAATTCCCACTTTCCTCAGTCTGTACGACTGTTTGACTGTCCTTTATTAATCTTGACAACAGTTAGATAGCTGAAAGCCGAGACCAGATGAGCTTAGAGGCACGAGGCACTGATTAACTTCTGATACAAGAACTTCTGATGCAAATCAAAAGTCACATTGTTTCAATTTAGATAGTTTCCTCTGAAAGAAGTTAGATACGTAAACGTCACGACTCTATTACTAACAGGAAAAGTATAATGTACAGGGGCAAGCCACTACTAATTTCAGGTGAAAAGCATATACTTTAAATTAAATACAGTTGACCCCCTATAACACGGGTTCCTATAGTTCGGATTCCTATATGACGGTGAAAAAATTGCGACGGTATCCGTACAAACCTGGTAAAATAACTCCTATAATTCTGTAAAACGTCATCGAGCAGCCGAACTACTTTCCACCATCCAGCGCCACGCTATGGAGAGTTTAGGAGAGTAAGTTGAGTTTACTATCATCTGTACAGTATGTAAATTAGGTACCGTAAGTCTAATACAGCACTGATTTTAAACATTTCTTATGAAAGAAACATTTCTTATTCAACGGTCATAAAAATTATTTCCATTAATGATGTCTCCAAAGTTCAATGAAGTTTTCGCAGAAAAATAACTTATCAGAAATCGCGGCCGCCGTTTAGTGCACTGCTCCGTGATGAAAACAAGCTTAAGCAATGGCGACGTCGAACGGTGCACACTCGATAAGTAATCTTACAATTTTTTGTTTATAGCATAGTTTATACGGATTATTCCCCAAAGAAATATACGTATTTTGGAAATGTCGAGTCGAATTAGTCTAGGAATCGATTAATTTTATGGAAGAAAACCTTTCAAACAACCGTAGTCCGTAAAGTGCATATGTGCCGGGCTGTGATTGGCAAATACTCATACAAACTGGATTCATAAAGAACAGAACGTATCTACCGTGTTATAGGGGGGTCGACTGCATATATCTATCTATATATATATAACCCATTGAACGGGTATCCGTCTGTCCGCGTAACAGTATGATAACGGACAGTAGAGGCGCTCCTATCGTGTGTCATATTTCAAACATTCAAATTAACAATTTTAATTATTATTTAAATGAACAATATAAAATTATTATTATTCATTAAGCCGATAAATTATTCTTTGGTCAATATAACAATATAAATAATTCAGTATATTTGTAATAGGAATTTATTATTTCAGGAGCTTATATCTTGCAAAGGGTCGCGAGTAGGGGTATGGTTCCTTTGACTTTATTGTTCGTATAGGGGCTACAGTTTGGCGGGTCGCCACCTCTTCATTCAGAGGGTAAATCTTACCATTGGGAGCTGTAGAGCATATTGATAGAAACGAAAAAGTCAAAAAAACCGTGCCTCATGGAAATTTGTAAAGAACGCCCACTAGGGGGCGTCCCGGGCTACTAGTATATATAAATGTAATGAAAAATTGCAGCCCATCACTGTGAGGATGTCACAATAAATATCTTCTCGTTGATTGTCTTTTCTTTTTTGAACTTCTCTTATTTTTGGATCTTGTAATGCATGTAACAAGCGAAAGTATAAAAATCGTGTGAAATTTGATCCTCACCTTTCGGAAACCTGCAAGTTTTAAGACTTCCTTACTTCTTATTACAAATTGCAATGTTTTAAAAATATAATTTATCTTTAATCTGAAATTAAGTTTTTTGCCATCTTATAACAACTAATATTATGAACAGGTTTTTGAATAAAATTTCCTAGCAGATGTGCCCAGTAGCGTGCCGTGACATTTGATGAGAGGGAAGCTGTGTTTCTGTAAGAAGCAGACTTCCAGGGGCAATCAGTTAATTCTTTAAATGTATTTTTTATAGATTATTTATCTGACATACTTAATAAATAAACAAGTTCAATATAATTACCTGTTATTACATCCAATATATTCCATATGCCCTCTAAATACCAATTCTTGCTTTGATAAAAACATATAACATCTATTTATTTAGATATAATATATCTATTAACCGTAACTATCTCGTTATAATTTTCAATATTTATTTTATATTATTTACTAATGTTAAATTCTATTCTGCTTCGATTACCAAATTGCTTTAAATACGAAACAATCGACGATTTTTCGTCTCTTTTGCCAGCTAAATTGTCAAAGCCAATCTTATTCCACACACTAATTTCACTTGAAAATATTAGGCGAGCCAACAAAACAACTTTTCCATTTTTACGCATTTACAGAGCCATTTTATCGTGAAAATGTCGAACAAATTTTTTTATTGAAACGTTTATATTTAACTTAAGCATTGGCCTTT